ATTTGTGATACTAAGGGTTTATTTTGAGTACACTTAATAATATCAGTTGGTATTCTAGCTACCATTTCCACTTTATTAGCTTAAAATAAAATTCGAGTTTTGAATATGAAATTACGTTGCAAATTTGAATTTGCAAGCTCAATGCCAGGTGCAATCGTTACATAACGTGTACTTTCTTCACGTTTCTTTTCTTCAACCTTTCACAGAATGCCCCAGTGTTCAGTGGTGGAAGATTGACCTGCAGGAGATCTACTCCTTGACAAAAATCACTCTTGTCAACAGGAGGGATTGCTGTTGTAAGACTTCCATAAGAATGGTTATGTTATTTATCTTATCACTACACAACATATCTTTCTATGCAGTAGACGTTTGGTCTCCAACGGTTTGTTGATGGAAAGTCAAAATTCTCATGATAATGAAAATATAATGTAATACGAATTTATGAGTAATAATAAATAGGTCAAAGTGGCATTGCATAACTTACTGAATCAAATCAGGTGGAGGACTAGTATGTGAATACAGGTTGCAAGGAGTTAGCTAGTTAGGGTTGAAAATTATGAACCTTGTTTTAATCTAGAGTGCAACAAGTAACATTATAATTTTAATCTTCCCACATCTTATCACTTGTATTAACTAACAAATTGTAATTCATAAACATTGGAGTTACAACCCATGTGGGGTGTTGAATCCAGCAATTAAAAGAAAAAAACGTGAAACGCGATCGTCATAGATTCGTATAATGTCAGATTTCTAAATATTTTAAATCGACAAATGCTGGGGGGAGACTAATAGGTGCTGCAGTGCGAGCTGGATTGGACTAGACTTTAGACTCCATTCATTTGATGAAGTTAAAATTTATACGAAATATGTAATATCATATGAATCTATAAATAACAATCAACGAGTCTACGAGGAATTGCGCTCCTTTCTGTGTACAGATTATTTCAACCATGCAAAATATACGAAGAAATTAAACGGAATCAAATCGATTATAAAAGATTCATGTTATACTGAAACCTGCAAATTCATTTTACATCAAGAATGTCGGATTTCTAAATTTCTAAATACTAGGGGAAAGACTGGAAGGTGCCATTGTACGGGCTGGTATGAACTCAGATCAGTCACAAAACACACAGATAGGAGATCCTGTTACATCGACTCAAGCTACCAATGGAGCAATGATTGATTTCCTGGCCAACCCAACAGTGTCTGCTCGATATGTTAGTGTAGAGGTGCATGGGTCTAAGTGTCTTCAACTGGCTGAAGTAATGGTTGCTACGAACCCAACGGGTGTGTTTTTTCTGTCCTGCGTAATCCTGACAAAAATCTTACAAATCGGGAGTAATAGTTGTTCTAGAGGCACCTCTGTACCAGCACAAATTGAACAATTTTCCAGGAACCCTGCACTGGTGTTTTTATTATCAATTTTTTTTACACGTGGAGTCGTCACAATCTCACCCGATCCGACTACCCATCGCTACTTATATAAGTGAGGCCTGTGCAGCTAAATAGCCTGCAAGAACTATGATGCTAATATTTTAACGTATGATGCGATACCGTAGGAAAACTTATAAGTGAGGCTTGTTCGAGCTTTCTGCTTCCAAATTTTTTGACGCTGACTAGCCTCAGTTATAAGTGTGCCACTGTATTGCATCATACCATAATATATTAGCATCACAGTTGTTGCAGGCTATTTTGCTGCACAGGCCTCACTTATAAGTAGCGGTGGGTAGTCGGGTGACAAACTAACCTTTGATGGGGCTTGGTACCTTTTTGCAAACGGATTTCATAATACCCTCCGTGGCATATGCATATCCACAGTGACCACCTTTCAATAAAGCATGGAATATTGAACAGGTATAATTGTATACATGGTGCCTGTAGAACATGTATTTTATTGCCCCTTTCACTTGTTAAATGTTATTGCCTTGACTTCATGACTTTTGGCATAGGCACCTGAATTTGGAATGAAAAATCTTTCATAACGTTTGCATTTATCATCAAACGTTAATAAAGCTTGTACCATTTTTGGAACAATCTTTGGTCGTTATAGACATTAACAAACGTCACAAAATGCTTTAACGACTTTAATATATTGAATTTAAATGGCTATCACAAATGAAATCAGAAGACAGCTCAAAGTATCTTCCGCTTATTAGTCCTGGACAATGCTGTGACTTCATGTAATTGTCAACCAGATTAATTTCAAGACATCTAAAAGTTCTTTGAATAGTTCGTAAATTATTGTGTGACGACGCAAAAAGCACACCGTACAACATTATTTATTTAAAGAACTCAGTTTTCGCCCTTAATCTAGGTCAGTTTCATTTATTTTGACCTTCTATAGTTTTACTGATCGTTATTTCCCGCAATAAGACAACAAACAAATAACAACTACTTTGATCTTCAGGGAGTACCATCAACCTTAATGGCAAGCCAGTTAGTCAGAGCAGTACGTATGTGGATTCTAGTATGGAGTGGTCAGCTGACAGAGCAATTGATGGAGATCCCGACACAGTTTCCCACACAGGTGACTTAGTTTCTATTATTTCAGTGTACTTAACTTAATTGTGATACTGTGAGTTTATTTTGAATTCAATGAATAATATCAATTTGTCTTTCCACTCAATGTGCCATTCTCAATTTTATTACCTAAAAAGAAAATGCACGTTTCGAGAGTGAAATTATGTTGCGAATTTGAATTTGCAAGCTGCAACGACCAGTGCAATCGGAAGATGAAGTGCACTTTCTTCCAATGCAACTTTTCACAGAATGCCCCAGTGTTCAGTGGTGGAAGGTTGACCTCCAGGCGATGTACTGTTTAACGAAAAT